CCTGTCTTCAAGTGCTTTGGAGAATAAGTTGATCCCTTCTTCTTTGTGGCAGTCCCTTAGATGTTGGAACATCGATGTTGGAACATCTATCATGCCACCCCTAGTCCTTCTTTTCATTAGACGAGACATACCCAATTCCAGCAACCGTTCTTCGTATGCTTTAGCCTCCAATCCCCTAATCATCTTTGTTGCTCTTATCTGTACTCATTCTAGAATCTCAACATCTTCTTTAGCTTCTGGTGACCAAAAACTGAATGCTTCCAAGTGTGGTCTTGGCAAAGCTTTATAAAGTGGTATTAACACTTCACGTGATCTTGATTCTATCCCTCTGTTTATGCAGCCTGGGATTGTATTGGGTTTTTTTTGGCAGCTGCAGCACACTGCTGGTTCATAAAAGAGACTGTCCAATTTCCAAGATCCCTCTCACAGTTACTACTGTTGAGCCCGGTACCACCTATATTACACCTGTGCATTTGGTTCTTCTTGCCTAAATGTAGAAGTTTACTTTTTTTTCACCATTGACTAGATTGGCCCCAATTCAGATTATTGACTTGGCTTCACAAATCAGTTCAATTTAGATTTTGTTTCGGATGATTACAGTGATTAAATTCAGGTATGGTAAAATAAAAACATTTTGCAATGCACATAAGGCCATCTAACGATGGGGATATTTTAGAGACGATTTCATCCAAATTAAAAATTCAGAAAATCAATTTGATTCGGAGACTATCGAATCATCTTTAAATTGCGTCCAGTGAGCCAAAATGTGATTGTCAACATGCTACAGCAAGCATGATGTAGTCTTTTAAATCAATAGAAGTTGTTCATCCTTGCATCCTGGTGCTGGTTAGTCCTTAGTAGAAAGTTGAAAAATGCTTAAAAGGTGGAAAAAAGAGGGAAGTCTATATTTTGTGACCCAACTGCCAGCTGTGACATGTTGTAACAAATGTCAGATGAATCTGGATATCTACTCAACACTAGTACAGATAATTCTCCGGTTACGACCCCAATGGAGCCCCAAATTTCTGTTCCTACACGAGACATTTGTGGAGTGAATTTTGCCCCATTTTACAATCTCTCTTGCCACAGTTGTTAAATGGTTATTAAGTGGATCTGGTTTCCCACACTGGTTTTGCTTGTTGAAAGGGTTGCAAAAGATGATCACATGACCTTTGGGACACAGCAATGGTCATAAGTATGAGCCATCTGAATTTGTTCATGTGATTATGAGGATGCTACAAGGGTCATAAGTCACTTTTTTCAGTGCCGTTGTAACTTTGAACAGACACTTGTAAGGACTACCTGTAATACATTTCTGCTGTGGGCTGATCCTGCTAATTCAGAAGAGTATTAACAAGGAGTTCTGATTTTTTGGAGTTGCTCGAAGTGGCATGTTGCATACCTAGCAAATAGGTTATTCCTGTTAAATCACAGATTGAAGAAATCTGTTTCAACTGGGCAATTTTCACAGTTATTTTAAGTAGTTTTTAAGTATTTATTTTGGCTCCCCACCCCAAGCGATATAAATGTACTAGCTGGAGACCCATGCTTCATGATGAAAATTTGTGATTGGGCTATGCAGGAGAAATTTGGTTCACAATCCGTCGGCTCAGTGGTGGTCGGTGATTGAAACACATAAGAGAATATCGTTCCTGCCGCCTTGAGTCCGGAAGCAGTTCCATAGGTGGAAGGCATTTTGGTAAGGTACCAATGTTTAGTACTGTAAGGAGCCCCAGACTGCTTCTGAGGGAATGTCTGCCAGTTTGAACTGAGGTATGTGAGGCAATTGGCAGTTGGAACAAAGTTCTTTTCAGGTGGGGAGGGGGAGTAGAATGTGTAACTCCTTAGCATCAGAGTGTGTTAATATAAGGCAACTGGCAGTTGGAACAGAGTTCTTTTCAGGTGGAGAGGGGGAGTAGAACTCCTTAGCATCAGAGCGTGTTAATTACTGTATAAGAAATAGTATATGTGATTGGGTTATGCAGGAGAAATTCGGTTCACAATCCATTGGCTCGGTGGTGGTCAGTGATTGAAACACATAAGGGAATATCGCTCCCGCCGCCTTGAGTCCAGAAGCAGTTCCATAGGTGGAAGGCGTAGACATTTTGGTGAGGTACCAACGTTTAGTATTGTAAGGAGCCCCAGGCTGCTGAGTGAAGCAAGATTGAAGAGCACCTGTACTTTTTTATAGACACACTAATGTTGATAATAAAAATTAGAATAATGGTATCTGTCATTGCTTTCCTTCAAGGTTCTTTTTTTTTTTTTACTTGCCTATCTAGCATACAGACTTAAATAACTATATTTCTATATTTTTTCTTATTCTATTATCTAATACTGCATGCATTAAATAACAACACCCTGCATTTCTTGACCATTGTCCAAGTACTAACCAGGTCTTACATTGCTTTGCTTACAGATACGGCGTTATTTGTGATCTGTCATTATCTTTTTCTGGCAGTGGGAATTTTTCCATTTGGACCTGATCCATTACGGGGTCTTGCATTTCATGTCTCTGCTGGAATTTAAATCCTGACCTTCTAACAAATTCAATCCATATTACGCTGCCATGCCTAATCGTTGATTTGAAAAGCTCTTCATTGATGAGGTTGATTAGATTTTTTTAAAATCTGATCCTCTCTCTTGAGTCTTACTGTAATTTAGCTTCATTGGATTTCCCATCATCCAAAATATTTACCTGACACCTTTTTAATACCTCTGTACATTTAAGACCTGCTAAGATGGTAAGCAAATGCATCCGAGACTGAGTTATTGTTTCTGCAATTCCATTTGTAGTCTTCGTCAGCTTTGGAAAGAAATAATGAATCAATGTGTTCTGTCTGTGTTGGAAAAACAAATTATTGGGCATGAGCTAAGATCCACTTATAAAGCTACTTGATCCCCCCAGTTGGTGATATCATACATGCCCATCATTGTAGGGAAATAAAAGCCCTGCATAGTGTTTCCTTTAATGTTGGGTTTGTTTACTTGAAATGGATGTGTTTGTCAATGAGAATCATACACTAGCTAGTAGTTAAGCCATTATCCATTGAGAAATATGTGTGTTCCCACTGGATGTCAGTAACTGGTAAGTGGTTATTGGATGCTGCTCCTCCTCTATTGTCTTCATTGTAACCGAAGAGGAATATGGTACATCTTGGCTTCGAAAAATATTGGGTCACAGACAGCTGGAACAAAGAACGTTGGGATTTGCATAATTGAGTTTATGCTGATAGGTGGTTGGTGTTTGTAGGCAGTAACTACGAACACATCATATATCAGCTAGCTAAATGATGTTTGATGATATATAACCAGTTTTACATCACAAGCGTTGCTATTTGCATGGAAGGGAAAGTGTTAACTATGAATGAAGAAGCTATAATGTACATCAATAAGTATGAATTGGCATCATTTTGGTTCTTGGGGAAATCTATAGAAATAAGAATTTCATAGATTAGTGAGAATTATATATTGTGCTCCAGCGAATGAGAAGAAAAACTGAGTTTGGGAATAATTGTACAGCCTTCTAAATGAATGAGATCCAGGGGGGAAAGTTATTTTGTTAGGTGTCTCCCATGCATATATACATGAATGAATGAATGAATGAATGAATGAATGAATGAATGAATGAATGAATTGATGGATGGAAATCAGAGGAGAGGTGTCATGCCACTGGTGGAGACTGACTCTGAGGGAGAGAAGGAACAGCCAACGGGGAGTGGAAGTGTGGCTCCAGAGGTGGTGGAGGAGGCTGGGGAAGGGCAGAGGCCGGCTGAGCAGTCAGAGGAGGACCCAGGCCCATCCCCTCTCCATCCTAGGGCACGCAGGGAGGAGAGGATAAGGGAGAGATGTGGTCTCCTCGGGAGGAGAGGGCTTTGATCCTCTTCATGGGCTGCAGCTGTGACAACTGAATAAGAGAACAGACATGCATACAGGTGAGCGCTGGAAACAAAGCATGGAAATATCTCTAGCTTATGGTTCCTCTCTGAGTTTGGCGTCCTTCCCAGTGTGTGTTCTGTTATCTGTGGACATCCTCCAGCCCTTATCTTGCCTGGTTTGTGTTGCTTTTTTTCCTCCTTCTTGTAACTGTATGAGGAGTTTTTTTGTCTTCAGTCAAGGATATTTGGAGCTTGGAAGCAAAGTGAAGGAATAAAAGGGGCTTCACCTGTTTTTTTATGACTGTGTTTATTTTGTATCCCACCCTGGGTCATCACAATAGGGTAGAGAAAAAGTGGTCCAGTTATTCAGAGACCTGACATTGCATCAGAATGGGGACTGTTTGGTGAGTGTTCAGTTAAAAGATAAAAGTATTTTTTTTTCTTTCAGATTTGTGGTTTAAGTGTCAATAAGTTCATGACAATTCAAAGTTATGATGACATTGGAAAAAATGACTTATTGCTATTGCTAAGAGTCACTTATTCCAATGTCTTGTAACTTTGAACACCTAGACTTCTATAACGTTTCATAGTGTTTCACAGCACTCTGTAAGACGTTTACAGGGTCAGCCTCTAACCATTTGGGTCCTCATTTTACTGTCCTCGGAAGGATTGAAGGCTTATGACCGTTTTTCACACTTAACAACCATTCCAGCATCCCCACGGTCACGCGATCACAATCAACGTTGTTTGGCGACTGTCTCATATTCATGACGATTGCAGAGTCCTGGGGTCATGTGGTAACCTTTGGCGACCTTCTGGCAAGCCAGATTGTTGTGGTTCGCCGGCAGCAGGTGTGGGATGGCTGAGGTCTCGGAGAACGAGGACTAGATAGTTAAGATGTATGTAAAAGTATGTATACCATCATGAAAGCATTTTAATGAATGGAAATGATGTTGTATATAAGAAAAATTGTTTAATAAACATTTTAAAAAACAGAGTTAAGAGGTTTAATGTACATAAGATTGCAAAGTAAAGAGATTTAACGTATATAAGACTGCCATCTTTTTTTAAAAAAACTTGGAGAATAATAAAACACTAACCATATCATTTATTTTTGGGCAGGTTGTGCACTATCCATTTCCCCATCAGGATCTCCTTTGGTTGTGAATAGCGGGCAAGAATTTAAGCTGACCTGTACAAATGATGACCCAGTGACCTGGGTCTTTTACAGCGCTGACCCATCCACGAGGTTAAAGAATTTCAAAACTAAAGAAGTGCATGTTACTCAAGCAAGACCCACAGACACAGGAACCTACCTATGCAAGAGCAAGAAAAACTCAAACAGCTCCGTTTATGTTTTTGTTAAAGGTAATTTCATTTTCCTTTCTTCACTTTCCCTTCATCGCAAAGAGGCATTTTCCAAAATGCACTGGGTAGGAAGGCTGGATTCGGTTTGCATTTATGGTCATCCGATTATATTTGCAGTGGTTCAGTGGTTAAGATGCTGGGCTTGTCGGCTGGAAAATTCGCAGCCTGGCTTCAATACCCGAACACCACATGATGAGTGAGCTCCCATTCCTTGCTCCAGCTCCTGCCAACCCAGCAGTTCAAAAGCACACAAATGCGAGTAGATAACAGATAATCAGAGTTGGAAGGGACCTTGTAGGTCATCTAGTCCAACCCCCCACCCAAGCGGGAGACCCTACACCATTTCTGACAATTGGCAGTCCAATTTCTTCTTGAAAGTCTCAAGTGCTCCCACAACTTCTGAGGGCAACTTCTGTTCCATTGGTTGATTGTTCTCACTGTCAGAAAGTTTCTCCTGATTTCCAAGTTGAATCTCTCCTTGTTCAGTTTCCATCCATTATTCCTTGTCTGCCCTTCGGGTGCTTTAGAACAGTGATCCCCAACCTTTTTTATGCCGCGGCCCGGTACCGGCATCAGCTGGGCGCCGCGGCCCGGTACTGGCATCAGCTGGGCGCCGCCATCTTTTTTTGATGAAAAAGTGCTTCCGGTGAGCTTTCTACCCGGAAAAGCTCACCGGAAGCACTTTTTCATCAAGAAAAGATGGCGGCGCCCAGCAAACCAGCGGCCCGGTAGGACTTGTTCCACGGACCGGTACCGGTCCGCGGACCGGTGGTTGGGGACCCCTGCTTTAGAAAATAGCTTGACCCCTTCCTCCCTGTGGCAGCCCCTCAAATATTGGAAGACCGCTATCATATCTCCCCTGGTCCTTCTCTTTACTAGACTAGCCAAGCCCAGTTCCTGCAAATGTTTGTTGTATGTTTTAGCCTCCAGTCCCCTCATCATCCTGGTTGCTCTTCTCTGTACTTTTTCTAGAGTCTCAACATCTTTTTTTATAGTGTGGTGACCAAAACTGGATGCAGTACTCTAGGTGTGATAAATAGGTACCACTTCTGTGGGAAGGTAACAGCGCTCTGTGATGCTGGCCACGTGACGACGGAAAATGTCTTTGGACAGCGCTGTCTGAATAGTCTTGAAATGAGCACCACCGGCCTAGAGTCAGCAACAACCAGTGGAGTTAAATCCATCGGGACCCCTTTACCTTTATATATATATATTTCACACACACACCCCAAATCCTAGGAAAACAGCATGTCAAGTAAAACACTTTTGAACTACTGTGTGTAACTCATCCTCATAATTTAAACGATATCTGAATAAGTGTTTAGCTGTGCCACCGGGGGGAGGAAAGAGGGGGGCACAGGGTGTGCTCAAAAAATTCAAGTCATGGTCATGATCTGTTTCTCGTGTGTAATCTGTGAACATAAAAAAAAACAGGCAAAGTGATTGCACAGCTGCTCTAGTGGGTAATGCCATAGCAGTCCAATCCCTTTGGGCAGCGTTAAGTTGGGAAAGATAGAAAGCCATTACGTCCGGTGGAAGCTCCACCTTCTAAAAACACGATACGTGACTTCTTGCACAGCTGCAAGTCCCTGGCAAAATGTTGATCTGAGATGGTATCAGTTTCAAAATGCTGTTTGGAGGAAAGGGTTGGTTTTTTTTGTATGTGGTGTAATCACCAGACCTCTTTCTGGATATTAAAGACAGATAACACTGAAAATTATAGAGTGACACCTAAATATTTATTTCAAATATTCCGGCATTAATTTATGGAATGGAAGGGACCTTAGAGGTCTTCTAGTCCAACCCCCTGCTGAGGCAGGAAACCCTATACCATTTCAGACAAATGATTGTCCAATCTCTTCCAGTGTTGGAGCATTCACAACTTCTGGAGTCAAGTTGCTCCACTGGTTAATTGTTCTAACTGTCAGGAAATTTCTCCTTAATTCTTGGTTGCTTCTCTCTTGGACTAGCTTCCATCCATTGCTTCCTGTTCTGCCCTCAGGTGCTTTGGAGAATAGCTTTTTTTTAAAAAAAAGTTTTTTATTTTATAACAAAAACAAAGACAAACAAATAAAACCATTTTCTGTTCTACAGTGTGTCAGTTGGGTACATATATCTTGTGCACATAGTAATATTATCATACATTTCTTACTTGTTTATGTTTATAACCATTCTAATCAATATTTTATATCACATTTATCAATTATTGTATTATTAACATATATTCAAAAATATGTTTCATTTTTACTTAAATTATATTCATTTTCTTATACAGTCTAACTCAATCGATTATGATATATTATACTATTATTACATATTTCAATTTCTAACTCTACTATCTAGCCATTCATAGAATAAATTCCAAATTTTATAATAATCTTTTTCTTCCTGTTCTCTAATTGCCATTGTCAATCTCCTCATTTCTGCACATTCCATTATTTTCTTAATTATTTCCTCTTCTGTCAGAATTTTCTCATTTTTCCAATTTTGTGCAAATACAATTCTGGTGCTTTAGAGAATAGCTTGACTCCCTCTTCTTTGTGGCAGCCCCTGAGATATTGGAACACTGCTATCATGTCACCCCTAGTCCTTCTTTTCATTAAACTAGACGTACCCAATTCCAGCAACCGTTCTTTATATGTTTATGTGTTCTAGTAGCCAAGAGTTCTCCTGGCTCCATTCAGGATCATGAGAAAAGTGAATTAATTATTCCCCCCCCACACACACACACACCCTAGCCCTAACTGAAAATATCTCTTTTTGAAACTGCCACTTTACACTAAGAGAGGGCCCGGGGACGTAAAAGGATGAGTCAGTTTGCAAATCTGAATCTGCCACCTCAGATAAGACTTTCCGTCTGCCTCACAAGTCAGCTTTGTTTTTAAATTTCAAAGATTCTTAGAAGAAAGATTACTATCCTTCAGGCAAGTTCATACCACAGATGAAACACCTTGCAAGCCATGATGATGTCAAAACAGACACGAGAGCAGCTCGATAGCATCATACAAGCCGTGTATTTTATCATTTTGCACAGTGTAAAGTGACACAGGTATAAACAATTTGTGTCCTCACTGATTCATCTCTGGCAGACAACTATACAAAAGACACTGGCGATGATTGATTGCATAAATTTATATAGCCACTCATCTTAATCAAAGGACCCCAGGCACCTAACGAAGCTATAAAAACAAAACCAGCCCTGCAGACAACTGAAAATAAAACATTCCAGTCAAAATGCTGAACTCCTCAATCAAAATGTGTAATCAAACCGTATTGCCCTGATATCCTGATTGTAAAGCCTGCATGGAAGAGCTGGATGTTTAAGGTGTTCCAAAATGCCAACAGAGTCAGGGTCATCCAAATTAGGACAGGTCTCCTGATATAGAAAGGACATCTACTGGAATAACATTATTTCGGAGGAGGGACGTGGAACCTATCTACCCTACCAAGTCTGTAGTAGTAGTATCTCAATTAATAACAAAATGGACTGATGCATTATGTAAGAAGAACATGAGCAAGATCTCATTTATTCTGAAATAAGGAGTCCTATTTTTTTCCAGGGCACATCCCTGCAAGGGAAATTAGTGGCAGGAAAACATATGTCTTCGTTTATAACTTGGGCTTCAAAAACCATAATCAAAGAGCACTTCTGGAAAGCGAACCTAAACACATTTATTAAGGTGTAAGCCTGATTGAATCCAGTAGGACTTCAGAATAAGCCAGCAGAAGACTTTGCCACCAGCTGTTCTGACCTAGGCTTTCCAAGATCACGAAGCAGACTCCTCGTCCCGATAAAGCCCCTTTTATTTAGGTTAAAGTGAATTCCTCTCCAGCAAACAGTCTTTCATGAGATTTCACAACTACAGACCTTTATCAGGCTTGGAGAGTTGCCAGGTCAATATCTTCCAAATGCCATGCTGTAGCAGCAATTACCTGGCAAGAAGTCGGGAACAGATCTTCACCCTAATGAATTGAACTAATTGTCTCCTGCAAACACCACTCCCCTTTCATTCCTCTTTATTCCCTATAGGAGGGGCCATTCACTGCCCACCTGAGCCTTTAGTCTCGAGTCAACCCTTGTTCCTTAACTGTTCCCTTCTCCTGGCAGCTCTGCGCATGTGCACATCAGGAACAGGCTCCAGCTGTTCTTCTGCCCCACTGATCTCCGTCTCTGAAGGCAGCTGATAACTGTCGGACAGCCCTGGCCCCATCTCTGCCTCCGATGCAGAGCCCTCATCAGAGCCTTCCCCAGACTCCCGGACTGGCCCATGTTCCTCCCCAACCTCCTCACTGTATGAGTCTGCCACCAGCTCTGCTGGCCGCTGGTGGGCCACAACACATGCGCAGGTTAATTATATTCTACCTATCCTCCTTCAAATCAACATGGCCACTGCTCCAGATTCTGTGTTCTACCCAAAATGGCAAGGGTTGATTGTCTTACAGCTTTTGACATGCCCGATAGATGATAAAGAAATGAGGGCATAAGATACGCTTGACTGGCATTCAGTGGTTTATCTAGACTAGCCAGGAAAATAAAAGCATAACTGGTCAGGCATTAGCTGGGTGACTTTCTGTTCTATTCTTGATTTAGTAAAAAAAATGGATGAGCGTAATTGGCCCTGTAGTTACTCGAATTAGACATGGGCAGGGCATCTTTGTCTTCCATTTTGAGTCCAGAGAACTCTGCTATGGCATTCCTTTTGATTAGGGCACATTATTCATTTCTGATCTGGTAGCTGTATAAAATAAGGCTGGATATGCTGTGCCATCTGGGATTAACGGGTCTAGTTTTTCTCATAGTATTAGTGAAGAAATATCTACTTTAAATTTTTTTTGGGAATATTTAGATAATGGATCAGTACTTGATTTCTCTACTCCTTTCAACGGGCAACTATGTCTCCACAATTTCTCCCTAACCTTTTTTTGACATCAACACTGAAAGATGTTATTTGACCCAAGTTAAATTTTAGGATTGAATCCTGGGATCTTTCTTTCTTTCT